AGAACAAAGACAGAAATTACAGCAAAATTATTTTAGGTGTAGCATTCTGGTAGCATAATTATGGATGGCCACAATAATATGACAGCAGTGACTTGCCCTCACAGTCTGTAAAGTACCATGTTATGAAAACTTTTAAGGGTGATAAGCATTACTCTTCAATATCAAAAGAAAAACATCTCCAGTAGCATTTTTAGAAACAGTAAATAAGTAGTATAAAGAACAGGCAGATACCATCAATGAAATATTTAAACAACTGCAGATTTAAGCAGTAGAAACAGTGCTGCATTTTTGTTTGCTTATTTATTCATTCCCACAAAGGGTTTGGGGATGTAAGGAACAGTATGCTATTAGAGGTTTCTCAAATCCTCCCATGTGTGATGCCGTACTCCCGCACATGCTGGGCTGTGGCATATATGAAGAAGAGTTAGTGGAAGAAGCAAGTGAATAGCCTGCATTTTCAGAAGCATGATTTATATTGGTGACAATATTGACACATGAATTCTGTTAGGACATCAATAAAGGTGACACATTTTTAATTCTGATGAAAATAACCTGAGGCATTCTGTGGCTGCACTGAAGAATTTTATTGGTTACAAAAACACATCAGACCCTTTCAAGATATAAGCCTTCACACGTTTTGCCCTGGAATAATGCTTCCCTCTAGACAAACGTCTTCATTGCACAAAATGCCGCTTGTCATCAATACCTAGCCCAAATGTTACTTCCTCTGTGAAGACTTCCTGACTGGATGAGGTTCAACTAAATGCTCTCTCTGAAGGATGTTGGAAGAAAAAGGAATACATGAACCCATATTTTAGGGGTTCTCATTTAAAAACATATTTCTGTAAATACGTATGTTCTCCAGTAGAACAGATATTATGTTCATTATGTTTATCACCTGGAATGTTGCTAGTGTTCAACAAATATTCTTGAATGAATGAACAAATGAATGAATGAATGAATGAATGAAATGATGTAGCAACATGAGAGACAGTACCATGTGTAAAAGAAACATCTTGCTAAATTTGAGTAGGGCTTATTTCTCTATTGGACAGGTATATTTTTGTGATGCTAATTTACCAAATCATGTATGACCTGAAAATTATGAGACTGAATGCTTTAATAACTATGAAATATCCATTCATTCATTTACGAAATTTGCTACTCTGTAAATAAACAGATTCCTGGGTCATAAAAACTTCAACTTCTAAAAGGCACCCAACTTTCTAATTCACTTGAGTAATAACAACTGAACCTTGAAATGAGCACATTTCCATAAATAAGTTTTTATTATAAATTATCTTTTACAAGGAAAAATACCATAGTCATTTCTATAACATAACAAAGTTTTCCATTTTCTGTGTGTTGGTGAAGGGAGAACTTGAGGGTGGTCTCAGCAAATTAGTAATTTAGAGAATAACTATTGTAATAACCCAGTCTTCCTAAATTGACCTCAAACAGTTGGTTTTACTAGCTCTATATAAAGTGTTCATTCACTTTGCAGATTTCAAAAGCTATTTCCTACAGAGTTTGAAATGGTACAGTTTTCAGGATATCCCTAGGGAACACAATTAGTATTTAGAGAAGAAATTGGTTTGATATACATAAGTTTTGCATGAAGATATGATGTCAATCAGTCTAGCATTTTTCTTTTAAAAGTATCCTTTTATTATTAACTAAATGGAATGTCACATTTGATGTCAATAATCAACACCTCAATCCATCTAAAAACCAGCATATCTTGAGTAGATGGAAAAGAAAAAAAACGCTTTAAGCACATTAATACATATATTCTTTTTTGACATGAAGTGGCAAAATATAAACTGACACATATAGTCATAAGTATATATACTGACTAACATAAAGATTAGACTTTGGATGCAATGAAAATGATGTATTTTAGTATTTCATTTAAGAGAATTCAAGATTTTATAGCCTTAAAATTTTAACCATTTGAAAGTTAAAGAAAATGCAAAAGACAGATGCATGACATCAAGTTAAATACCTATTCATTTCTCATTTAAATAAAATAATGAATAGGGGAAAGAATTTAAGATTAGAAATGAGGAGCCTAGAAACTTGCTTAGTCATCTTAACCAGTTGTATAATCTTAGGCAAAGCCACTTAACTTCTCAGGGTCTCAGTCTTCTTATCTGTAAAATGTAGCAGGTATTTTATTATCTGAAGTGGAAGAACTCTACAGCCTTGTCTCTCTCAAAAATTTTAATATTACTTTGGAAACAGGCCCTCCAATTATCTATATGGCCTCAATTTCTTCTGTGTAGATATAAATTGTAGATTTCATGACAGGTAAATTATGATGGAATAGCTTAAAGGCCCTACAGAAGTTGTTTACGATGTTAATTACACTTGCAGAGAAGAACCACACAAATGGTATCACTTTAAAGCCATAAAGATTACTAAATGTGTAATAGCATAGACATGTGGAAGAAAAATTCAACTATTGTAGGAGAGAAGACTAGGGATCCAGACTCTAGCTAAATTTGTTTTAAGCCGTTTTATGAAGTAAAACACAATTAAAATAGTTTCACCCAGGGAGAAAGTTATTGAAGCCAGGGTCACTGGTTCAATTACCAAGAGAGCCATTAGCTTTTGTTTCATCCCATTGTTACAGACTCGCTAACCGCTTAACCCCAACTCACCATCTTTCAAATTCATACAAGTGGTTACAGAGGAGATTTGGCAAGACTGTTTGGATATGTAAGCAAAAATCTATCCTCAGCGCTAGAAAAATAATTCAAAGGTCAAGCCCCAGTGATATGACATCATCCAAGTGTTGACAGATCAGATTATCCTTATGATGATTATTACTGTTATCATCACCATCATTATTATGGTGGCAGCATTGCATCGTGGTTAAAAGAGCCAGCTCTAGAATTAGACTGGGTTTGAATCTGCACTGTCCCACTTACCAGATTGACAAGTTGGACAAGTTATTTAACTCTTTGAGCCTGATTTTCCTCATTTTCAAAATAGGTGTTATAATAGCACCTTGTAGGGTAATTGTGAGGAACGAGTGAGTTAATCCATGTGGAAAATCCCTGAAACATATTAACTACTAAGTAAATGCTATTATTATCTTTCAGTTGTCTTGGTCATGTTGACTAGTTGGCACTTGCCGGAAAGCATCTGTAGTGGCTTCCTCCGGCTGCCAGGAACAAACTGGGCGACATAAAACAATAGAAATGTATTATCTCACACTTCTGGAGGCTGAAAGTCCAAAATCAAGGTGTTGTCAGGGTCATGCTTCCTTCAGTCTCTGGAGAAAAGTTGTTTCTTGCCTGTTCCAACTTCTGGTGGCCAGTTGTTGCTTGGCTTGTGACGGTATAACTTCAATCTCTGCCCCTGTCTTCACATGGCTGTCTTCTCCCTCTGTGTGTCTCTGCATCAAAATTTTCCTCTGTTTGTTTTTATAAAGACATCAGTCCATTGCATTTAGGGCTTTCCTGAACCTAGTATGATCTCAACTTGACTACATCTGCAAAATTCCTATTTCCAAATAAGTTCACGTTCACAGGTACCAGGGATTGGGATTTAAACATATCAGTTGTGGGTGGGGGGGGGGCAGACAATTCAACCCATTACAGCATACAAAGCAGAAAAAAAGAAAGAAAACAAAGCACAAGAAGAAAGGGTAAAGCAAACAAATGTAGAAAATCTGATGCTAGTACTTATTTGGGGGGAAATAGGTAAATAGCCTCAAATAAATCACTGAGTCCTTACCTATGACTACAACAGAGAAACACCTTACATGTGGCTGAGGCAGAGCCCAGCAAAATATCTTTGGACCATGAGTGAGAAACAAGATGACTTCAGCAAGCAGTAGAAGCAGACTTCAACATAGGTGGTAGCAAAATGCTGTGAGAATCCTGACAGAATTATTTGGCACAATCCTGCAAATGGCATCCTCCCTTTGTCAAGCCTGATCAGTTGTGACTTATCGAGACACGGTCCATGGGCCCTGCACTGGATGCAAGTTACCTTGGATGACATCATAAACCCAAAGAAGGTGATGATGATCTGAGGCCAGCATTTGCGCTGAGTACTGGATGTCCCCGGGGATAGTGATGTGTTGTGCAACATATTTTAAGCAAATGTCGTGGACTAAGCAATTGTCTATGCAAATTCTGACTGTGTCTATAAATAGCATTTTCCTATCTGGGCATTTTTGAACCAAATAAAGAAAGCATGATAGTCTTCTGCCTGAAAGAGCCAAAAATGATAAAAAAAAAAAAAAAAAACACTGATGGCTTTACTCTATCGTTGATTTAATATATGACTTGGAAAGTCCTCATCATATCACATTACCATGTCCAGTTTTCTCCTGCAAAGCAATATTCAGTTTCCACTGTATTGACTCAAGTAAATATGTTCACATGATGGCAAAATGTAGCTTGCTGTAGCACAACTCTCGGCAGGAGAACATTGTACCCTTCGGTCACAGTTACGATTTAATTTAGGGGTTTATCTGTCTTCCAATGAGATTATAGGAAGGAAGGATAAGGTGTAGGAAGAAAATGGTGATGAGGGATTCTGATATGTGAAAATGGATGAGTTTCCCAAAAGAAGAGCATAAAACTGTGTGGATCAAATTCAGATAGAACACTGGCAGGTTGCCAGATTTGTAATTGCATCTTGAATTGAGCTGTAATCCTTCCCACTTCCAAAAACAATAAGAGTGAGAAAACGATAAACCACATTTGTTTTACATAGCGGGTATTTGCTTTAGTATTCCTAATGAAATATTTTCCCTGCCACTTTGGTGAAGGCTCCAGAGCCACAAAAATAGTTATGTGTTTTTTGTGTGTGTAGGGAGGAAAAAGAAGATAATTCTCTTTTGTAGGTAGAAACAGAAAATTGTGCATTTTGAAGGGATTAAAAAGGGAAATCCTGTATTTTGTAAGGAAAAAGAAATGTGTGTGTTTTGTCTTCCATAAAAGGGAAATTGATAATGACTTTTTTAAAAAACGACCTTTCAGGTTTACAACTTACGAGTATAAGGTGTTTGTACACAACAGCGTGGGTTTCTCACCGAGCCAAGGAGCTACCGTGACAACATTAGCTGGCCTTCCAGAGAGGGGAGCCAATCTCACCGTAACTGTTGTTAACCACACGGCCATAGATGTGACATGGGCTAAACCAAGTAAGTAAGCTTCTCATGTCTCTAGTTCCCCTTAGCGTATTATACCAGAATGAATTTTAAATGGATGCATTAAAAAAAAACAAAACAAAACAAAACAAAAAAACAATGAAAAGCTGAGATGCTTGTGTATTCTTCAGAGTCAGACTCTCTCTCCCTACTTGACATCCTTCCTGGGCCTTCTCTCTCTCTTCCATTCCTTTTGGTTGGGGATGTAGTTTCTGTCACAGCAGCCAGTTGTACTACAAATGTCCACATATTAATTTGATAGAATGTAATACTGTGCACTTTCCCACAGAAAGTTCTGCCCCCCATCTTGTAACTCAGCACTTATTAGCAAGAACCATTGATTGGGATGCAGTCATGTGAGGAATTTTTCTGAGTGAATCATTTTCAGTGCTGGGTGTAGACAGAATTCCAGCTTGACACAGGAAAATGGAGCCTGGACATCACCACTGGGCTTGCTTCAATGATGCAGGGGTCTCGCCCTGACCCCATTCAGAACATACCCTTATGGGTAGTTAGAAGAGCTCACAGATGGATCTAATCTGCTCCTGCAACTTTAGAAACAAAAAACTGAAATTTCAGATCTCGTTGGTCAGCAGAATAGCGTTTAACAGCAGAACTGTTATTTTGTAGTGATCCATTATCACAATTAGAAAACAACACTGGATTTATCATGGAAATATATGTTGTAACCATTCTTAGAAGTACCACTTGAGATCTGGCAAATAGTTGAATTAAAACTAGCTAGAATATTACCAAATATTGAGAAATATCTGATTCAGAAATCCCCAAGTAAAATGTTTGTCTTATGAAAGAAAACTGTACCTGCTAGAGTAATCATCTACAGGTTACATAGAAAGATGAAAAACTACCCTTGGCTGGGGCATAGTAACCCCATGATTTTCATCCAGCCTTTGAGTTTTGTTACAGCCTAAGACGTGCTTCCTTTTCCATTTAGAACATCTGAGTGAATTTGCCTCCATGTTATATTTTATCAATTGCGAATTAAAACCAGGATTAGGTGACATTAACACTAAATTAAAATCTGTACTGGCTCTGTTGATCTATGTTGCCACTAAATAACCCATTTTTACAGAAGACTATCATCCTAGGGTTTGTATAAGGTTGCAGGTTTCTAATAATCTGTGTCACCTCTATTGGGATCTCTTAAGCCATTTAAATGGAAGAATGGAAGTTAATTGATGCTTATGATTACACTCTGAGACACCTCTGGGAAAAATACAAAGTTTTTATCTGGAGATGGATTTTTATGTATAATATATTTTCACTCATTTCTCTTTCCTCTCTACTTTACCCTCACCACCTGATTCATCTTAAAAGCCTGCTCATAAAGGTGGATGTCCTCCCCCTCATCTGACATTTGAATACTGCTGTTAAGATCCAGCCGCTGAATTTTGCCAATATAGGTCCTTTACATTATAATTGCATGCCTGAAGTAAGCGTGCTTATAAAAACTGACAAACTTAATAGATCTGCAGCATCTCGCTGAAGTTTCATTACCTTGGTAATCTGAACCTCTGACCTTCGGGATGTAGGTAATGCAATCTGCTGTTATTTCCATTCATACCTTAGAAATATTTCAGATAACTATTTGTGAGCACAAAGGTTAACTCTCAGAAGAGGGTCAACTCTCCGAAAGCTTGTTTCATTATCATTTTCTTCCTTCGTGCAACCTGCTAGCCTAAGTAAATTAACTAGTTACTCCTCTGTGATAGGGCCACCTATTTTTTGCTATTTTAATTTAGGTTGTTTCCTTGACTTTTGGGATACGTTTGGCTACATTGTTGAACATGCTAGAAGGCACAAAACTGTAGGATGAAAGTCAATTGGATACATTTATAAATATTTACTTATTAAAAATTGCCTTTCAAAAAAACATAAAATGTATTTAAAAAAACACATATTCTCTCTTAACTATGATCTCCCCATGGATACACCATTTTGATAGCTGCATATTTCTGGTAAATTTTTAACCACAGATTAACAGGAATGTTATTGAACATTTTAGAAGCACCCATTTTAAATTTTGTATCGCTGTGTGATGTCATGTGAGGTAAAAGCATCCCTGCATTCCTTCAGTTCATTTTTAGGCTTCATACTGTAAACTGGCAGCACATGGACCATGTTTACTTCCTCCATCCCCCCTACACTGTTTTGGCTATGGTATTTTTCTTAAATAATATTTTGCCAACATTTAACAATCAGACGATTTCACATAAAGGTGATGATTTGGGGATTGATTTGAAAAATCAAATGATGGAGTGAAACTACTCCCACATTGCAGAAGGAATATTATCAGTTGGCGCTGAGTAATGGCTTCCCCTAGACAGGTCACACACTTCTATCTTCCTGGTCCCTATACAGATAGGAGGTTCTTATCCCTGTTAAATATAATAAAAGAGAATATTTCAGCCTAAGTGAAATACCATGAAGATAAATTATATTAGTGAAAACAATCACATTTTTATAAAAAGGATACAAAAATACCTTTGCTTCAGTTATTCATACAATTCTCAGAAAAGCCCTGTAAGATAGAAACTGGCACTTTGTGACTCATTTAACATTACAGCGAGGAAGCAGAACTTCCCAAATTCAAACTAAGGGCTGAGACATTCAATTTTCAGGTGTTCCTCATGCATTTAGCCTTAATGGTTATTAATACTTCGTTGAGTGATTTATTAAGATCCTCCCCATTTTGAATGCTCACTTTAAAATCAACAGCCTCAGGGGACCTGCGTGGCACAGTCAGTTGAGCATCCAACTCTTGGTTTCAGCTCAAGTCTTGATCTCAGGGTCCTGAGATAGAGCCCCGCTACGTTGTGCTCCACGCTCAGCACGAAGTCGGCTTGAGATTCTCTCTCTCCTTCTGCCCCTGCCCACTCTCTCTCTCAAATAAACAAATCTCTCTCTCTCTCTAAAATAAATAAATAAAATATTTTAAAATAAATAAATAAACAGCCTAATAAGAAAATGCCCATGAGGGAATGCAGTGGAAAGGCAATACCTCTCCTGAGGTTGCCTCACTAACAAGATCATCCAGGGCCAGAACAGAGCAAGAAAACCCCGGAGGTAGTGAGAGAGGAAGGTGCCGAAGAAGGGCAAATGAAAAATCATCCAAACGCTGTTCACTTTACCATCCATCAAGACCTCCCCCCAACCTTTAGGTGTTTGCATCTTGTGTCACATCTTCCTCCCTCTCTCTCTCCTTCCTCTTTTTCTCCTGTCTCTCCTCTTTCTCTTTTTCTCTTCTACCTCTCTCTCTCTATTTCGCCTCCTTCCTTTCTCCCACAGATATTTATTTATGACTTTGTTTGTCCTGGGCACTGTTACTACAGTGATGAATGACATAATTCCTGCATTATAATATCTTAGTGAACTCTCTGGAATATTCATAAAGTATGAAGGTGTCACCGTTAAGAGAGTAAGTTTAAATCCACACAAAAGGCCTCTACCTCATCTTGATCTCTTAATCAGAAAGCACCAGATTTTGTAACTAGAAGAATTTCTGACTTTGTCTGAATTTATCTTGTTTGGGTGGCAATACATATCAATAATTTCAATGTCAGCCCTTTTAAAAAGTACCCACCATTGTTGGCACACCTTGTTCCTTACTCTTCTTCCCATTACTCCAGTTATCAAAGCAAATAAGCTGTATTTGCCTTTTCCTTGGGCTGTCCTTTTGTTCACTTGTGCATCTGTTGTAGTCTGACCTTCCCTCATACTCTACTGACATGGTCCTCCTGAAGTCCTTCTTACCTCATGACCCAATCCAGCGTTCTCCTCTCTATGCCATCCCATTCTGTTTCTCTGCATGGTGGGTCCTGTCATGACCCCTCCTCATCGAAATGCTCCAACCTGTGTCAAACAACTACTCCTTCTCCTTATTCCCTAAATACAGACTTTTCTCAAAGTTCTTTCCTGAGTATCTTTTTCACACTCCAATTCTCCTGTGGGTGATTCCATCTATTCTCACTGTTTCAAGTTCTCCTAACTAGAAAAATGACAAAATTCTATGAAGCCTTATGAAGGGATGATTTAAAAAATAAACTTTGGAATCAGGGAAACTTGAGTTTGGATCCCAGTTTCAGTATTTTTTAACACTATGACTAAAGCAAGCCACTTAACCACACTAAATCCTAGTTTCCTAATCCAACATCCGGGGATAATAATAACTGCCTTAAAATGTTGTGATAGGGATGAAATGAGATAATATATGTTTAGAACTTAGTAATCATTTAGTATTGGTATAAAGTATTACTCTGTCTCTAAAATGTTGACAGTGTTTTCAACAGCAGTTATACAAAATACAAAAAAAAATAATTCGGAAGCCATTTCTATTAAAAATTTGGGCATGGCATTCAGATAAAAACATTTCTACCATGAGTTGAAGATAGACAAAGAATAGATGTCACTTTATAATGACCTGACTTGACTAAAAGGTAGAACTACCAACCATTGCATAGTATTATTTCCCTACCTCCTTCCCCTTGAGGTGGTGGTGTTCCCCATGCCCATCAACTTAGAGACTACACTTACCAGCCTTGGAGTTAGCTGTGGCCTTGTGCTAGTATTTGTGCCAATAAAATGTGAAAAGAAATGATGTATGTCTTTCGGTGTCATAATCACAAAACATTAGCTATGTGCCTTCCTGTTCTCTCTTCCTAAGTCCCCTGGACTGGAATGTAGACATGGCGGTTTTCTCAATTTCATCCCTGCAGGCACAGACGACACCCTAAGAGACCCAAAGCCACATAAGAGAAGGAACCTGGGTTGTTGAAATGGAACACCATCTGATTCAGTCACTTTGGGGCTAGTATGTGAGATGTAAATTAATATCTATTTTATTTAAGTCACTTTATATCAGGGCTTCTTGGTTACCACAGCTCAGTTAACTCTCTCATTCCCTGTTTGCCCATATCAGTTCATTTAAGGAGGAGTTATCTATCCTATTTCCATTGCTAAATATAGAATGATGA